CGCTTTTCCATACATGTATTGAACCTAGGGTGTTATTTCCTGTGATACGCTAATACTATCTACATACCTGCGCTTTTCCTTACATGTATTAAACCTAGGGTGTTATTTCCTGTGATATGCTACTGATATCCACATACCTGCGCTTTTCCATACATGTATTAAAGCTGGGGTGTTATTTCCTATGATATGCTACTGCTATCCATATACCTGCACTTTTCTACACATGTATTAAAGCTAGGGTGTTATTTCCTATGATATGCCAGTGCTATCCACATACCTGCACTTTTCTACACATGTATTAAACCTAGGGTGTTATTTCCTATGATATGCCACTGCTATCCACACACCTGCACTTTTCTACACATGTATTAAAGCCTCGTTACATGTACCTGCGCTTTTCCATACATGTATTAAAGCTAGGGTGTTATTTCCTGTGACATGTTACTGTATCCACATACCTGCGCTTTTCCATACATGTATTAAACCTAGGGTGTTATTTCCTGCGATATGCTACTGCTATCCACATACCTGCGCTTTTCCATGCATGAATTAAACCTAGGGTGTTATTTCCTGTGATACGCTACTACTATCTACGTACCTGCGCTTTTCTATACATGTATAAAATCTGGGGTGTTATTTCCTGTGATATGCCACTGTTATACACATACCTGCGCTTCTCCATACATGTATTAAACCTAGGGTGTTATTTCCTGTGATATGCTACTGCTACCCACATACCTGCGCTTTTCCATACATGAATTAAACCTAGGGTGTTATTTCCTGAGATATGCTACTGCTATCCACATACCTGCGCTTTTCCATACATGTATTACACCCACGGTGTTATTTCCTGTGATATGCCACTGATATCCACATACCCGCGCTTTTCCATACATGTATTAAAGCTAGGGTGTTATTTCCTGTGATATGCTACTGCTATCCACATATCTTTGCTTTTCCATACATGTATTAAAGCTAGGGTGTTATTTCCTGTGACATGCTACTGCTATCCTCATACCTGCGCTTTTCCATACATGTATTAAACCTAGGTTGTTATTTCCTGTGATATGCTACTGCTATCCACATACCTGCCTTTCTCCATACATGTATTAAACCTAGGGTATTATTTCCTGATATATGCTACTGCTATCCACATTTCTGCGCTTTTCCATACATGAATTAAACCTAGGATGTTATTTCCTGAGATATGCTACTGCTATCTACATACCTGCGCTTTTCTATACATGTATTAAATCTGGGGTGTTATTTCCTCTGATATGCTACTGCTATCCGCATACCTGCGCTTTTCCATACATGTATTAAAGCTGGGGTGTTATTTTCCGTGATATGCTACTGCTATCAATATATCTGCGCTTCTCCATACATGTATTAAACCTAGAGTGTTATTTCATATGATATGCTACTGCTATCCACATACCTGCACTTTTCTACACATGTATTAAAGCTAGGGTGTTATTTCCTATGATATGCCACTGCTATCCACATATCTGCACTTTTCTACACATGTATTAAACCTAGGGTGTTATTTCCTCTGATATGCTACTGCTATCCACATACCTGCGCTTTTCCATACATGTATTAAACCTAGGGTGTTATTTCCTATGATATGCCAGTGCTATCCACATACCTGCA